TACTCCTGCTAATTCAAGATTGTTTGAATAGAGCTTAACAAGAAAATTTGTTGATCATTAACTTTAGTTTTCTCCATGATTAAGAACATTTCCATTTTTGCCTCCCTGGGCATTCATTTCTCCATTGAATAATTAGTTGTCTTTATGGTTAGGTGCTTCCAAAACTTTCTTCTCATACTTTACATGCATTGCTGACTTCAGATGAACTATGGGTACCTAGCGAAGAAAAGCGGTATGTAGCACATGCAGTACCAAAAGGAGTTTTGTGGTTAATTTATTGACATCTGACGAAGTTGGACATATTTTTTCTCTTATTTGAAAGGTTTGAATTAGCACTGTACACATTGCTTGCAAAAGGAACTTTGTCAGAAAGGGATCAGCCCGAGGATGAAAGTTTTGCTTCTGAGATGGGAATGAGCATTCATTCTGATTCTTCTAAATCAAAGGAGAAAACTATGCTTTGTGACTCCTCTAATAAGAGTGTGGAAACTGACGTAGATCGTTTAAGTTTAAAAGGCAACCTTGAGAGTTGTAGTCTTGTCCAAAATCAAATGGTTGGGCTAGCAAACTGTATAGTTGACTTCCAAACGGGGGTTTCTGGTTCTGTCCAACAAGGGCAACTGCCTGCATATGCTCAATCAAATCAAGAGCCAATTTATTTGGGCACAATGGAGCAGTCTTTGTCATTAACCAATCCATTTCCAGATACTGATGGAATTAGAACCTCTCATTCTTTTGTTCAGATGCCAGTTAGTGTTGAAGCTAGTGAACTAGAAGCAAGTGGAGTGGCTACAGAGGGCCCATCTGAAGAAGGCTCGTCTTACCATTTGAATAACCATAGTTGGATTTCAAGTGACAAATCAAGACATTGTCCTTCAATGGACTCCTTCTGTAACAGCTTCATGCTGAATGACTGCCTGAGATGTGGCATGGCTCCTCTTTCATGGGGTGGCAGGATTGTGGGCAAAAGGCAGGTTACTGGTTATGCTAAACGACACTGTGAGGTCAGTGGTGAAGAATACGAGTCCTTTGTCAATATTTTTGACGGTGGTTCCCTTTTATATAGCAATATGTCATTTGAAGCACTCTTGAACTCGAGAAAACTGCTTGAAGAATTCGGATTCCCGTGTAAAGCTGTGAATGATGGTCTTTGGCTGCAGGTTTGTGTATTTATCTGTTTTTGTGTGTTGTATACAATTGTCAAATAGGAGAATAAGAGCCTAGAGTTCTATTCATTGCCTTAGATGGCAGGGAAGCAGGGTGTTCATGCCCAAGTGTCTATCTTAAATTTTCAGAAAGTTGATGCCCCTGTTTTTGAACTTTGAAATATCAGTGTTTTTTCCTAACCATAGTGATGGTTTCAATCTAGAGTCCAGTCTACTTTTGTGGAAATGCCAGTGGTAAAAGACATACTATTTTCCTTTTCAATTAGAAATTTGGACACCGTTCTTACTTCCTGACAAAATCAATCACATTTTTGTTTCTTAAACAAAGAGTTGCTTGTAAAGATGCTAAGATATTTATTTTGTTGCTCATTTGTAGATGCTATTAAGCCAAAGGGTACAAGAAATTGGTGCTGACACATGCAAAAACTGTTGCCTTGTGAGTATGGCATGTGCTTGTAGGCAGCCATTTGGACTTTCACCTGGAGTGAATCCATCTGGTTATTACATGCATGAGGATGGTCAGAATAACCAACCTGGCAGCATGGGTAATGTGTATGTTGTTGATTCATCTCAGGGAGAAAGAAATGGCCTATTTAGGCATGTAAGAGTGCATGTTAGGGGGCCTGTTGATGGGCTTGCTGGTATTGGACGTGGAAATGCATTTGTGCCAACAGCTTCTTGCCCTCCTACTCGTTTTGTATATTCACGTGTACCCGTTGGCATGGGCAATAGAAGTTGCCAGCAGTCTCTTGCTAATGATGATTCAGAGGTTAGAATTGACCACAATGGAGACCTTTCTGGAGATGGATTGACAGCTCTAGTTGGGCTAAGCCACAGAGGGAATAATGCTGCTAATGCTAATGGAGCAGAAATAGAGAGAGATTATGAGACTGATCTGTCATCTAGATTGTCTGCAACCCATATTGATGGGCCAAATTCTAATGGCATTTCCATGCAGATGTTAGAATCTCTTGAGCATTCCATTGGTCTTCAGGGGGAGAATGCAGGTAGTTCTCCTATATCACTGGATTTGAAGACACCTCTGAGTCACTTCCCTCCTTTTCGTTTTGGGTACGTTTTCCTTACTATTGATTCGTGATCTTAACCTCAAAAGTTATGAGTCTACTTACAGGTCCACTATTTTTCTTTTTTGGGTGGATAAAGTGAACGATGGAAATCCTTCTATCCAACACCCACATCCTTAGCTGTTTGCTATTGTTTTAGAAAAAACTTTTATCAGTACTTATGCCTATTAAACTTATATGCTCCATGTTTAATGACAATTTATGGACTATTCATTGGTTCTATTAGAAGCTGGCTATTCGATTTGATTTGCATCATAAGTAAGGCTAACTGTCATTTCTCATGCTCATTCTTAGTTATCGTTTCTATATAGGATGATTGCCAGTCCTGTCTGTACTAATTTCTTATTTGATTTTATTATCTGCGTTGATTCTTCCACTCCTCTTTAAACTTATAAGAGTTGTTGTCGTATGCTATTCGTGTAGGGTTGAATTTGAAGATG